CTCTGGGAGCAGTTTTATGTTGATTTATTCTTTGCTCTGGCAGTGTACGTTTAGAGGGAAAAAAGGAGGAGATTATTCCTAGTTTTAAATGCGATTTTGTTATCTTTTGCCTGGGACCTGCCGCGTGTCGCAGCTGCCAGATAATTTCTGTGCGAACCACCTGTTTGCAGGCACCTGTGCGTTTCTGAGCCTGTCACCCTTTTCGGCAGCATCTTCCAGCCTTGGACTCCTTCCAAGTGGGAACGTGGTGCGTGCATGCGCGCGTGTGCGTGCGCTGGAGCAAAATCCCTCCGGGCGTCGTAATGGAATTAAAAGATTCACGTGAAAGAGCATGGCTGTGCGTGTGCAGGAAATGGGGGAGCGGGGAGGGTGTTTATGTGGGGGGTGCGTGCATCCTTTGCAAAGGCAGGCACGTGGCCCGGGCACCCCGCTCTGCCCCGCCGGCCCATCTCCCTCCTCACCTTTCCTTTTGCCTTCCCGCTGCTGGCAAGGAAGTTTCTTTTATTCTGTTGTGCTTTAATTTTGGTTCTGGGCTGTGCTGCCCTGCGAAGTCACTGTCAGCAGTTGATCGCGCTCGTGCTCTATGTCCCTTAGCATGTTGGTTACGCTGTATGCTCGCGCCGGGCTCCCCAGGAGCGGCTGATTCGTAAATAGAGGGGGAAGAGGGTGGGAGCCGAGCGTCGGGAGCCGGTGCTTCGGGACGGATGGCGCAGGTGTGGTGCCTCTGCGAGCAGGTCGAGGCTCGCCACCCCAGGAGCAGCATACAGCGCTCCGGCACGCTCCAAGCAGAGCTGCTGCTTCTGCTGAGGTGCCTGGAGGGGCTGTCGCTTCCAGGGAGCAGTGGATGGGTTTCAGGCAGCATCCCTGCCACACGTGTCCTGGCCTTGCTGGTCCATGTGTTGTGTCCCAGCCTGAATCGGCAGCCGGGCTGAGCCAGCCCAGCGGGGAACACCCGGGCTTGGGGCTGTCTGGGCACTGAGGGGTTGCAGGCAGGGTTTGGATAGCGGCGGTTTGCCTCGCCTCCCCAGCACAGCTGCTGCTCTCAGACAGGCGAGAGCAAAAACGCTCCCTGCAGCATCAGCTCAGCAGGTCTTTCTCCAGGGGAATGCATCTCCTCTGGGTACCCCAGGGATGAGCAGAAATGAGCTGTGTGGAGCAGGTGGCCCCTAAGGACGGATCAAACAGAACCGCCCTGGGCAGGGCCCGGGCACAGAGGCACAGGCTGCAGGTGCCAGGTTGCCAGGGGAAGCTCTTGGTGCTTACCCGAGGTGGGTATTGGAGGGGCGAACATACTGCTCTGATCCTTACCTGCAGCCCAAAATCTTCCCCTAGGCAAGAAGGTGGCCTGGGGTCGGGAGAGAGCTGTCCCCCAGCGCAGCGCGGGGCTGGGGCACAGAGCACTTCCCACAGCCAGCCCCTGTCAGCACGCCACGGAGGAAACTTGGGCAGCTGTAGCCCAGCGCTTTTGCGATTAGCACAAGCGCATTAGCCTCCTTCCTCTCCCCTTGGACTCCACAGATTAAGGGCCGAAGCCCTGGGGCGCTGCTGGCGAAGCACCCCCAGGGGCTGGAGGTCAGAGCTCAACCCGCAGCTCTGCTGCCCGGCATGGCCGGGAGCCCCGCAGAGCCCTGCTCCCACCCCAGCAATCCCCCCGCTGCTC